TTGTCGTGAAAATTTTCCAACATTGATTTCCTCAATTGAAAAAAAAAAGAAGAAGGAATTGTACGACGGTGACATTGCGTTTGTGCCCTGGAGGAACATATAACAACACAACCTCGTTTCCAGGATCCCATCTCTTAATTCGGGCATCGGAACGAGGTTGACTTATTTCGTTTGAAAAAGAACATTTCTGTAACTTCTGGGAGTGACATTACAAAAGATAAGACGGCCCCTCACTATTTACATTTTAAGGCGTTTGAGCTCGATTAATGTTATTTACTACTAGGCTGTTCTTTCCTTTCCCAATTTTAAGGGAAACGAGAATTCATTGTCACCTGGATGCTTAGAAGTTGTTAAACAAGCTTTTGACAAGATGGACACTTGTAAGGACGGAGTTCTTAAGTCAGAGGACATCGCAAAGTAAGCTTGATTTTTCTTTTCTCTCGCATTTGACTGCTAAGGAAAAGATTAGAATACAAGAAGGTTAAATTGCTATTAATCAAGATTCTCACAGGCTGTGTGAAACATTTGGTAGACAAGGAGGTAACATTATATACCGCCAGGTTAGAGGGGAGAGGGTGAGGGGCTTTTGGCTCGGTCCAATAAAATTAATCCGTTCCTCACCTAATTCTATGTAGTATCCTAATGATCGCCCTCATCGGCAGTCAATTTTCTCTGGTCCTTCTTTGTACTATTGGCGAAGGCTGATCCACCTCCATTTCCCCTGGAAACCATATGATCCCCCCTTAAATCATTCGATCGTTTCCCGTTCCCCTCTAAGATAAGAAATGATGTCTGCACGTCTGGTAATTAAAGATAGAGGGAGTGGAAAAACGATGTGGGAGGAGGATGGAAGGAACAAAGGAGAAAATGGAAGAATGGAACAAAACACTCGGGGTGAAAGGAGGCAAGACTGTCGCCAGTATGCGGTCTTTACCTACCGTGCTGCTAACATGCCGCGATCCATTACAGTATTGGTCATGAATAAAAAAGCTGCATAAAATATTTTTTTTGACATTTAAGGTTTGAAGGCCCTAGTTACATGCGCCCCCAACCCCACCCCCACCCCCAGCCCCACACAAACTTCCCTCTCCCCGTATCCATGGTGTCTCTAACCCCCTGCTCATTTCGTAGGTATTACAGCGCAGATGAAGGTACAAGCTTCGATGCGTACTTGGCTCGTTTTGACAGTGATGCAAAGGGTGGGGTAAGTCCTAGGGTGAAAAAAAATCCCTCGAGTACAAAGTTTTGTCAAGCACGAACATAGGCATGCTACGAATGCAGTGAGTTTTTTTGTTTTTTTGGGGGGGGGGAGGGTGTTGAAATTGGGCACTAAGTAACTGATGATTGCTTTTTTATTAAAGAAAAAGTATTTCCCAATGAAGATATCCGTCAATGGGGAGCAGACCTTCCATTTCATCTGAAATCAACTGAGACACACGTATCTTATGTCAATTGCCACTGGCGTCTGAAAAATTGTGAGCAAAAATTAATAAACTGCATTGCTGCCGCGCCTCCCGTAGTCTCCTTCACAACCTAACTAAAGAAATTTTGCGGTCTCCGTTCTTCCAACAAGTGAAAGTATAGTGAACAAAGAAAAAAGCATCATATTTCAAAAGCTTTCACGCAGGCATAACAACATTATTTGGTTGTTGTCTATCTTGACTTTGCCCCGTGCCTGCGAAACACGTGAAAAAACGCAAGTTGTTTTCAAACAAACTTCTAATCACGTGATAATTGCGTGGAAAATTGACTAACAGTAGCCAATTGCCACTTGAAACTAGAGGTGACCGGTTGCCAGTTTTAAAGGGGCGAATCACCAGCGAAGAGACCTTAAATTGTCTGCTGACTATTCGAGATGTGCATGATACTATTAATGCCTCTGCTTTGAGCCATCAAATAGGAAGTTCTGAGCCTCTACAGAAGACTAACATTATAATATTTTGGGTCTTACATGTAAGAAAGCCAGAATTTCAGATGTAGGCGAAACGCAAACAGGTGAATATGACCTTCATTGTATTGAAACGACATTGTTTTGTTTGTTATTTCTTGCAGCCTGTTGAGATAACCAGAGAAGAGTTCATTGAGTATTACACCAAACAGAGAAACAACTTCTATAAAGATGATGATTACTTCATCACTTCGCTTAAAAGGTCTTTTAAACTCTAAGGTTAATTCCAGGGATTCGCCTTAGTCCAGTCCCTGACCGAGTATGACTATGATCCCTCTTTGGTGTCAAGTTAAAACAAAGGCGCAAATAAAATGATTGATTGCACCTTGCAGAAGCGTCTTATTTCCTCCAGACTTCATTTTAAACTTGAAAACAATATTGCCGTAAATATGATGAGCGATGGTAAATCTTAAATCCCAGTCGTCTGATAAAGAAAGATCGAAGAAATGACCGAAGGAGAGCAAAAATGTCTTAACCCCTCCCCCCTTCTTTCACAAGGATTTGAGCCCCGGAATTTTAGGGTCAGCGGTCGGCCGTGGGTCGGTCGTGGGTCGGTCAGCAGCCCGCTCGTCGAGAAATTTCAGAAACTTTATTAGGAATGAAGTGCGTGGGGAAAATACTTAATCAGCACAGACGACTGAAGAGGGTAAGTTGGTGACGAAAGAAAATCTAGATTTTTTTTCATCATGGGAGGCCCATCTCCTCTTCTAGACTCATTAGTTTTGTACACAAGCCACACATGTATCGGAGGAAGGACCTTTTAAAGAAACAA